GTCTATGTTCCCCACCCGCAACCCACTGGTTGCGCTAGTGCCCTTTTCTGGGGCTCGTCATGCCCCCTCTGGAGCGTCTCATAGGTGCCCCTCTCTGGACCTGGGGTCTACGTACCCTGCATACAACCCAGGGTCTCTGTTCCCCCATCCGCAACCCACTGGTTGCGCTCCTCACAGCCAGCTGCACCTGCCCTGGCGCTATGAGGATAATGCAACCTCCTGGTGCTGGACTGCACCCCACTGGCGCTAGGGCACCCCACACTCTCTGGGGTCCCTATGCAAACACTGCACCTTCCTCGGGCACTGGGGCCCCCCTCTCTGGGGTCCCTATGAGGACACTGCGCCCTCTTGGCACTAGGGCACCCCACACTCTCTGGGGTCCCTATGAGGCCTCCTCCAACCCCTACAGCCTCACCCAAGCCTCCGGGTGTAATACCAACACTAACCAAACAAAACACAAGCCTCCTGGCTGTAACTTAACTTAAGGCCGCCTGGCTGCAACAACATAGCTCCTGCACCACAGAGCCACCATCCTTCAGCCTGCTCGAGCATTACTTGTATCTTAGCCCCATGAGCTCCTGCCTCTCTGGCTGCTGGAAGGGAACTGCCAGCCAGGCCTGAGTCCTGGGCTTTATAAGGGCCAGGCCCTGCCCCCTACAGGCAGCTGGCTCCCCTTAGCTACTCCAGCAACCCACAGCTGCGCTTGTTATCCTGGCAACCCTCAGCTGGGCTCATTGTGCTCTGCCAGGGCTCTCTCCCTGGCAGTTTTCTCCTCTCTAGGAGCAGGCACTAAGGTGCCCTGTGACATGAACCATAAAGCAGGGATGACGGCACACAAGGTTTGCCGTCTACACAAGATTTGTGTAGATCCATAGAAAATTAGGGTTGGATGGGACCTCAGGTGGTCATCTAATCCAACCCTCTGCTGAAAGCAGGACCAGTCCCAACTAAATCATCCCAGCCAAAGCTTGGTCTAGCTGGGTCTTAAAAACCTCCATGGATGTAGCATCCACTACTTCTCTGGGTAACCTGTTCCAGTGATTTACGACCCTCCTAGTGAGAAAGTTCTTACTAATATCTAACCCCAACTTCCCTTGATGCAACTTGAATGCACTTGTTCTGTTATCTGCCACCACTGACAACAGTCTAGCTCCATCCTCTTTGGAATCACCCTTCAGGTAGTTGAAGGCTGCCATTAAATCCTCCCTCAATCTTCTCTTCTCCACACTAAATACATCCAGTTCCCTCTAACCATTTTCATTACCCTCTGCTGGACTGTCTCAAATTTCTCTACATTCTTTTTGTAGTGGAGGACCAAAACCAGAAGCAGTATTCCAGATGCATCCTCATCACCTCGTCCTCCAAGTGCTGAGACATGCATTCTTTGAGGACCTGCTCTATGACTTTTTCAGGGACTGAGGTGAAGATGATTGGTCTGTAGCTACCTGGATTCTCCTTTTTCTCTTTCTTAAAGATTGGCATGATTTTCCCTTTTCCAATCATCCAGGACCTCTCCTGATTGCCATGAATTTTCAAATATGATTGCCAGTGGCTCTGCTATTGCATTGGCCAATTACCACAACACCTTCAGGCACATCCCATCCAGACCCATGGACTCATACACATCCAACTTTTCTAAATAGTTAGTCTCTAACCTGTTCCTTTGCCACTGGTGGCTGCTCAACTCCTCCCCAAACTGTGCTTCCAGGTGCAGTAGTCTGGGAGCTTACCTTGCCTGTGAAGATTCAGTCAAAATAGGCATTGAGTACTTCAGCCTTTTCTACCTCATCTGTCACTAGGTTGCTTCCCCCATTTAGTAAAGGACCCACACTTTCCCGGATCATCTTCTTTTTGTTGCTGACAAACTTGTAGAAACCCTTTTTGATACCCTTCACATCCCTTGCTAGCTGCAACTCCAATTGTGCTTTCGCCTTCCTGATTTCATACCTGCCTGCACAAACAATACTCTTATACTCCCCCATCATTGTTTGTTCAAGTTTATGCTTCTTATAAGCTTCCGTTTTGTGTTTTTAGCTCAATGAAGATATGGCAGAAAATGAGCCAAGCTGGTCTTCTACTATATCTACACATCAAGATGGTTTGTTCCTGCATCCTCAGTACGGTTTCTGTAAAGTACAACCAGCTCTCCTGGACTCTTTTCCCCTCAGACTGGCCTCCCAGGGGATTCTGCCCATGAGTTCTCTGAGTGAGTCAAAGTCTGCTGTTCTGAAGTCCAGGATTCATACTCTGTTGCTCTTCTTTCTTTCTTTCCTCAGGCTCCTGAACTCAGTCAATCTCATGGTCACTACTGCGTAAATTATTATCAGCTACTACATTCCCCACCAATTGTTTCCTATTTGTGAGCCTCAGGTCAAAAAGAGCATAGCCCTTCATTGGACTCTCCAATACTTGTTTCTGGAAGTTGCCCACAGGAAATTGCATCTTCATCTTAGCTGATAGTTTGCTGTTATTCCACGCAAATTTCTGTAATAGCCTGAAATTCTTAGTCGCTGCTCCAATTCCGTTAATCAGTTCAGTCTGAAAGTCAAGATTCCTGTTAATGAGAACACCCATGAAGAACTTTGTAATACAGGTAGTCATTTGGTTGGTTGCAGAGCCAACTCTACACTCTAAATGAAAAAGTTTAGAATTTTAATCTCACAAGGGACAAAGCATTAAGAACACAGACCATACATGGCATGGCAGGTTACCTCCTATTGGAAAAGGAATTAACTATACCTGCTGGATGTATTTGCAAGCTAAGAGAATGTTTGCAATATAGTGCTGGCAATTGCTGATGTGGGGATTTATTGAACAGGTAAAAAAATGAAAAGGAATTGCGCGGGAAGATTCTTGAAGCACAACCATTTTTATAACTTCATGAAAGAGTTACCTGAACAAAAAAATTTTGAAACAAATCTGAAAAACTACCTACAGAATGTCTGACTTTTACTACACCATTCTATTACTTTAAAAAAAAAAAAAAAGGTTTACTACCACCTCAGTTGACATTACCTTATTGTGATTGAAAAATGTCAATTACATATTATTTCTGGCAGAAATTTCCCCTTATATTCAAGAGGCTGAAAGCTTTCTTTATTGCTGAGACTGGAAACACAATGAATCACTCTATCCTCTGTTCTAACAGTGCCAATTTTATGACCAAACAAAGCATTTTGAGCAGCAGTGATGTTTCCTGTGTATAGCTCTTAATTGCTCTTTTTAGTTTTGAAATAAATGAAAATAGATTTTTATTTCAAAAGTAATGTATTGAAATGTAATATATGAATATTAACACTTTTTAATGATGTGAAACAAAAGATTTCTAGCTGTGAACTATTTAGTGTTAAAATAGTTACAAAAATAGTTATCCTGGAAATGTATTGGGATTCCTTGGGCCATAATCACTGAATGCTACATTCAACTCTGCAATTGCTCATAGTTTCATGAAAAGACTCTTAGATGTGACTGATAATCTTTGGGATTAATTCATGTTCTGTTTCATTCTCAACATCAATTCTCCTCATTCCTTATGAGTCAAAAGTTAGGAGTCCACCAAAGGATGTGTTTTAATAGGAATATTTAGCATGCTCTGTTTATCACTACTATCTGAAATAATTTAAATTAATCCTATTTGAGGAATAAAGTTAAACCATTGAAAAAACAAATAAAACAAATCAAAGACACAAAACCTAAAATGTCTTAGCTTTCAGTTCTTTGTATCAACTGGAAAGTCATTGGAACAATGTGTTTTGACACGTATGTTTAAAACAAATGACTTAGGTAAAAAAGGCTAATATTATTTAAATTAAGTTTAACTGACACTCTAAACTCAACATTGCAGCTTCTTTACAAAAAGTATATATATTTAATGAAATCCCATTGTTAGAAATTATGAAAATGAACAGGTCAGGGTCACAGCTAGTTTATCACTGTCATATAATGTTTCCTTATTCATTTTTACCTGTCTACAGTAAACCAATCCTAACACTGGTGAAAAAACAAAGTCAACATATCCACTTAGTAGGAGATAATTAAAAATATACCCCTTAAGTAAGAAGTAGGTTTTATGATCTAGTATTTGGTTAATTTTACCCTGTTTTTAGAGGCAAAAATAATCTAATAATGCACAGAATAGAAATTAAGGTCCAAATATTTTTCTTCCTAGAATAGCTAACTCAAAAAATTAAAGGTGCTACAATGATCCTTGGGTTCCCTTAACATATAGGCAATCATTTAAAATATTAGTTTTCTCTTATTTTAACATTATTTTTACATAGCACCGTAAAGATAACTTACAATAGTATTTAATGAAAATATATTTATAAACACTTCTCCTTGGAGCTAACACATTGAGTAAGTGTAACGGAAGACATGTAATTGAAGGAGACAGCAGTAAAATAATAAGGAAACACTATCATCAAGTAAAACAAGCAATTCAAAACCTGGTAGTTCCAAGGGACCCATAATAAAAAAGGAATAGTTTTCAGAAGGAGTTAAGTGAAGGGACAACTTGGTATGGGTATAGCATGTTCTCTCCCATGTCCCTCCACATATATATCCAGAAGAGGTTCCAATTTGTATAACTGTGAAGAAATAGACAAGAAACTTTATTTATAACATAAAATAATACCCAATTTTATAATACATATAGCCTTTTACTTTGAAAATATTACATTTTTAAATGACGTGTGCATTTTTTGCTGTGCTGTAATCTCCAGTAATTGCTTTTCTCCATTTGCGGTAATTGCTGGTGTGCAGATGCTTATAATGATAGAAACCATGTAAGTGATGAAATATATCAGATAGCCATGCAAAACTAAATGTCAGACTACCCATAGAGTCACTATATCATTTAAAACTGACTTGTCAGGAAAGGAATCAGCAGTTGAGCAGTCTGACAGAAGAACTGATCTCTCTCTCAATCTCTCTCTTTTGGTATAATGAAAGGTTTACTGGTATACCATTAATATCATACTGTATTTCCTATTTTATTCTAGGATCATCAAACAATTTTAAGAGCATGGGCAGTTAAAGACTTTGCTCCAAATTGTCCTTTGTATGTCCAAATACTAAAACCTGAAAATAAATTCCACATCAAGTTTGCAGGTAAGTGGAAATTTCAGATATTGGTATAAGTTTGTATACATTTGAGACCTGAAAAGAATGCTTTGTACCTGGTCCACTAAAATATATCACCCACAAAAAGTCTTGCCTGCCTTGTAAGTTTGTTGGCATTCTCAGACAATATGCTTTGTTCATTAACACTACAGTTTATTTCTACCCATTGTTAAGTACCCTAGAAAAATACATCCTTGCTCCATTGCCCCTTCTGCGTTTATAGTCCAAATGACAAAGTAGCTTCATCAGCATATGGTAACTGGTAATATCAAAGCTAATTAAGGTGTCAGGACTTCATCTTCTCCACCTGTAAGAACATACTGCAAGGTCTCAAGCTATGAGAGGTAACAAGAATATTGCTCACATTATACCTTAAGATCTTTTGATAAGCCTTTATAAAGAATTAATATTAATAGGCTTTAACAGAAGGTCAGTCCATTCTATAAGGCAGGGGTTTTCAACCTTTTTTAGCAAGTGTACTCCTTGTGGTAGCAACGGCCAGACATGGTGGGGGGGGGAGGGGTACTTGCACGCAGTGACTGGCTCTGCCACCCACCATCCTGCGCCACCACTGCTACCCACCATGCCACCGCCCACTGCCCCATAGCACTGCCAACACCCACCACCCCATGCTGCCACTGCCTCACCCCACTTCCCCACAGTCAGTCACACATGTGGCTCCGTGGGATGCTGATGGGCCTTGCACTCAGCCAATCACACACTGCCTGTCAGCAGCCTGCAGAGCCACATGTGCAACCGACTGTGGCAGGATATGGTGGCGATGGCACAGGGGGGTGGGTGGTGGTGGCTGCCACAGGCAAGCCCTCCCACTCCACATCCATCCTCTGGGGGGCGCTGCTGCCTTCACCCCCTGCCCTGGTCCTGGGAGCTGGTACAGAAATACCCCTCCACACATCATTCAGAACCTTTGTGCCTTGCTCCCTCCTGGCAGCCAGCCAGATGAGCGAGCTGAGGTGGGGGGCAGGGAGGCACCACAGTCTGCTGTGTGGGGGTGGCAGTGCCTGGCATGCCCCTCTCCCTCCCCCGGGTAAGAGGCGATGTGTGGGAATATGCCAGGGGAGACGCCTCTGCTGCCACCTCCCAGGGCATGCTCTGTCCCCACCCACCCATGTGCACCCCTTTTCCAAATATCCCTAGGAGTATGTGTACCCCACATTGACAACCCCTGCTATAGGACCTGATATACTGATAGCTTGCTTATAGCTGAGTAGTAGGAACCTACTCCTTACCTGAAACATTGATAAGAAAAACATGAGGAAACAAGGCAGTTGCCTATGTTCTGAGTGAAGAAGAGAGAAATAAATGCCAATTTTTTTTTCACTCTGTGTATGCTTTTCCTATTATTTTCCTCTCTTGCATTCTAATGAGTGCACCTCACTTCACCCATCTACTAATTATTTTTTCACATTGTACTGTCATGATAGAAATTACAATATCTTAAAGTATTTATGGTATGTGCAAAAAGCAAAGTAAATGTGCTTTCAGGGAAATACACTTTACCCCACCACAAAATATTTGTATAATGTTTTGTTTTGTATATGACTATATGTTTTTGTGGCTTTTCATTATATATAGAAAACATGTTGTCTGTGTGGTTATAATGGGAGAGATAATTGTCTATCCTTGCAAAACTATTTTTATAAAGCAGACATAAAACTCCTTCACGGTGACAAGAAAGTTCTGTTCTCTTAACATATTGTTAAGTATGTAAGAGTGTTGATTCAAGTAAAATTCAGAAAAAAATACAATGGAAAATGTAATTTATTCCATCACTCGAGAAACCTGATGAAAAAATCAGTTCTACCAGATACACAGCTCTGTCTGCAGGAGAAAGAAATAGGAGTGCTAGTTAGAGCTCTGTAAAGAAAAAAAAAAAATTAACTCCTGCATCTTGAATGAAGGACAGAGAGTAGTGTTGTACTGTAACTCTAAGAAAGGGAGTCAAGCTGAATCATTATTATGGTAATTAAAATATAGGATTATTTTTTTATTTTTTACATTCTTACTTCTCCAGATTTAATTGCTGTAAAATGTTTCTAATAGCATTTCTCATCTGATACCAGATTTAGAAAAGCAGAAGTATGCACATAGCATTTTTTATTTGATGGACTAATGCATAGGCTTACAAAATCAAGATATATTACTGGCCCTGTGACTCCTGTATCATCCTGTATCATCTAAATCTCATGCTGATCACTAAGAACACAAGCCAAGCTAAGCTATTTTTCTAGGCTTGAGGTTTATTCATCTGATATGAAATAAACTTTATATTTCATACAGGAATATCCAACATTTTCTGAGCATCTTTAACATCTTTAATAGTTAATACTATATTTATTTGAATATAAGATGACCCCTCAATTATTATATTCTATATCTGGAAAATGTGTACATTTGTTTTAAGTTTCCAGGTATAGAATCTAATTTTTTGGAGGTTCACCTTGAATTTGGCTCCATCCAACTGTTACAAAAGAGAAAATAAATCTGGGGTGGCCAGATGGCTCCCTTGCCTTCTGCCCCCCACCCCAACTTCTTCCCCCTGCAGCCTCTTCCCCCTCTTACTCTGAGACTACTCTCTCTGAGCACATGGAAGTGGAGGACAATTTTGAAAACACTGACTTAGAAATAAACATGCCTGAAGCAATGTAGTTCATCCAGAATTGATGCATTCTACCTCTTTTGAAACTGCTGCCAGTTTTAGCACAGGTACTCCATAAAAATACTTTGGAGCACTTTTGTACCTACATGCACATAGTACAAACTTCTTTGGTTTGTTTAGTCTTTGTCAAGGAGAAATCCATTTCAAATTCAATTGAACAAAGCCCAATAGTCAAGTTTCAAAATCTGACTGAGCAGAACTCAAATCATTAAGCTTGTGTGGCTCTACCATCAGGCAAGTATCCTCCCTCCCATTCCCATGGGTCTGTGGTTTCAGATCCTCCCCAAATTCCAGCAGGCCCCCTGCATGCAAGCCCCAGGCCCACAAGCCTGGGGGTTACAGTGTTGCAAGCCCTCATCACCCCATAGCTCAGCACTGCTCAGTATGTGTGCACTTCAGATATCCACCCCAAAGGATCCATGTGCTAATTAACCCATCCACTCATGACTGGAACTGGGTGTTCTTGTTATGAATCCTGGGATCCCACAAATTATATGCAGATAAGGAGCAGGGCAACCTGGTTCAGCTCCACCTCATGGAGGGCATGGCCACACTAATCATATATGACAGGGTAAGAGACAGGGTATCACAGGCATTCTGGGTGAAATGTTTGGGGACCCATTTAGTGATGTTTACTAGACATTTAAGGCTCATGAAGAAACAGGAATTACTGAAAATGGGAAAGAAAGGCACAACTCAGCCATGGGAGTGAGAAAATACAAATGTATCCAATATAGTGACTCACCATGGCTTGAAAAGGAGATGGCTGAGGGGGACTGAGCATGATGAGCACTATTATATATCTTGTTCAGACGGGCTGCACAAACCTATCTTTGTGGTAGGTTCCCATCAGTAGCATAGCTTCTCAGCAGTTCCATGGCTAAAATCAAGTGTACTAGCCAGGCAGACGCTTAGTTTTACTACCTTGATTGATGGCAGGAGCACCAAGGGAGATAGTGATAGAACACTAGGATGGAGGATGAAACTTTTTGTAAAGGGATGGCAATGGAGACCATTGTGGTGGGCGGGGTCAGATGTTAACAAAGTGGCTGGAGTTGCAATTTTGCTCGAGTGAGTAAGTGGAAGTGCAGCAAGTTCAAGTGATTACAGAAGGGAGACTGTAATGGATGGTGGAAGGATTTGAAAAGAAATTATTAGAGATTTTTAATATTTACACACTGGCTGAAAGAGAAGAAAAGCTTGCCCTGTTTAAGAAATTAAAGCTGCATGTAGAATCATAGAAGCATAAAAATTAAGGGTTGAAAGGAACCTCAAAAGATCATCAAGTCCAACCCCGCTGCTCAAGGCAGGAGTACCTGAGATCAAATGATCCCAGCAAGGTGTCTGTCCAGTCTCCTCTTGAAGGCTTCCAAGGTGGGGGACTGCACCACCTCCTTGGGAAGTCTATTCCAGTTTCTGGTCACCCTTACTGTAAACAAGTTCTTCCTTACATTCAGTCTGAAACCATCCTCTAACAATTTATGACCATTGTTCCTTGTCCTCCCCTGGAGTGCCCTAGTGAACAGTTTTTGTGACCCTTCTGTGGACCCTTTCAAGATTCTCCATGTCTTTTTTGAAGTGTGGTACCCAGAACTGGACTCAATACTCCAGATGAGGTCTAATCAATGCTGAGTAGGGAGGAAGTATCACTTCCTTAACACTGCTCACGATGCATTAGCTAATGCATCCAATTATGCTATTAGCTCCGTTGACTGCAACATTGCACTGGCAGCTCATGTTCATCCTGTGATCAACCACAACCTTGAGGTCCCTTTCAGCCATCGTGTTGGCCAGGATATCTCCTCCTAACCTATATTCATGTCACTGGTTACTTCTCTTCAGGTGAAGCATTTATCCTTATTGAACTACATCCAGTTCTGCACCACTCACCTTTCCAGCTTGTCCAGGTCTGCTTGGATCCTCATCCTATCCCCTAGAGTGACCACTTTTTCCCATAACTTAGTATTATCCGCAAACCTGGCCAGTGTGCTTTCTAAATTTTTTATAAAAATGTTGAATAGCACAGGGCCAAGAACCAAATCCTATGGGACATCACTGGCCACCTCCCTCCAAAATGATACAGACCCGTCCACTAACACTGCCTGCATTTGACCCCTTAGCCAGTTCCCAAACCCACCTGACCCACCTTTGTCAATCTACAATCCCTGTTTTTTTTTTTTATAAGATCATCCTGGGAGACCATATTGAAGGCCTTTTTAAAATCCAAGTATATGACATCAGCTGTGTCTCCCACATATGAACAGTTCATTACTTGATCATAGAAGGAGACAAGGTTGTTCAGGCACAA